TCACAGACATTTTCTTGAAAATGAACAAGTAAGACTGTCACTTCAAGGAAAACAACTAAAAGTAATTTGTTGTCAGTGATCAAATTGAGCAAAAAACTGAAAATTGGAATTTTGGAAAGCTTGTTGTTTCCACCATGAACTTGATAGCTTCCCAATTCTCAAATATGTTTTTTTTTCTGATGAGACTGATGGTTATATTAATGAATATAATGCTTTGATATTGTATAATTAAATGTACCAACATTTGAAAGATCTATATAACTCAATCAATATTTTCCAGTAACCAGTGTATTCATTCTCTTACAAAGTCATGCATGACAAAAGATCCATTTAAAGTTCAAGAAGGATAATAGAACGCCAAAAATACACTGATACTGCTTCATATACTACATTGTAACTAACATTTTAAAATCTTCTTGTCAAGTTTTTTTTTTTTTTTTTTTTAATTTAAATAGGCTTTTTTTTAGAATAGTTTTAGGCTTACAGAAAAATTGAAAAGATAGTACAGAGAGTTTTCACGTACTCTCAAACTCAGTTTTCCCTATAATTATTATTAGTAGTAGTAGTATTATATTTATTTTAGAGAGAGAGAATGTAAGCAGGGAAGAGGGGCAGAGGTAGAGAGAAAGAATCTTAAGTAGCCTCCACACTTAGCATGGAGCTGGTTGTGCAGATTGATCCCACGACCCTGGGATCATGACTTGTGCTGAAATCAAGAGCTGGATGCTCAACCAACTGAGCCACCCAGGCTCCCCCAGTTTCCCCTATTATTAATATCTTACATTAGTATGGCACATATGTTACAATTAATGAACCAATGGGGCTCTTGGGATTCTCTCTTCCTCGCTCTCTACTCCTCCCCTGCTCACATTCTCTCTCTCCCTCTCTCTCTCTCTCAAAATAAATAAATTAAAAAAAAATAAAGTTCATATTTTATTCAGATTTCCTTACTTTTTACCTAAGGTCCTTTTTCTGTCCCAGGATCCCACCTAAGATACCATATTAGCTTTTAGTCATCATGGCTTTTAGGCTCCCCTCTGCTGTGACAGTTTCTCATACTTTCCTTATTTTTGATGATCTTGACAATTTTGGGGAGCACTGGCAAGTTATTCTGTAGAATGTCCCTCAACTGGAATTTGTTTGATGTTTTTCTCATGATTAGGCTGGAATTATGGTAATGGGAGAACAACCACAGAGGTCATGTGCTATTTTCATCATATCATAACAAGGGTATAAACTATCAACATGAATTATTGCTGTTGATGTTAACCTTGACCACATTTGTCTGAGGCGGTGTTTGTCAGGTTTCTCCCCTATAAAGTTACCCTTTCCCCCCAACCTTTTTCATACTGTGCTCTGTGGAAGGAAGTTCTTGTTGAATTTTCATGTAGCATCAAAAAAGAGTATCCATGGGGCAGCTGGGTGTCTCAGTTGGTTAAGCATCCAACTTTTGATTTTGCCTCAGGTCATGATCTCACGGTTTGTGGGCTCTGCACTGACGGTGCAGAGTATGCTTGGGATTCTCTCTCTTCCTCTCTCTCTCTGCCCCTCCCCCATGCTCTCTCGCAAAAAAATAAAAATAAACTTATAAAAAAAAGGGTATCCACAATTATCTGATATGGCTATTAAAATATTTTTCCCGGGGTGCCTGGGTGGCTCAGTTGGTTAAACGTCCAACTTCGGCTCAGGTCATGATCTCGCGGTTTGTGAGTTCGAGCCCCGCGTTGGGCTCTGTGCTGACAGCTCAGAGCCTGGAGCCTGCTTCCGATTCTGTGTCTCCTCCTCTCTCTGTCCCTCCCACGCTCATGCTCTGTCTCTCTCTGTCTCTCAATAATAAATAAACATTAAAAAAATTTTTTTAATATTTTTCCCATTTCCAACTACTTATCTCTGTAAGACCAAATTTTCTTACATACTTAAACCAAAATATCACAAAAGATTGAATGTAGAAGTAGATACGCAGTTGTCCTTATCTTCTATTAAGCCAGACATTAAAGAGCTTTGCAAAAAAATATGTCATTCTTCTTACTAAATTATTCTCACTTTATAAAATGTTATTTTTCATACAAATGTTACTTATGCTAATTTGATGGGTTGAATATAATGGTTTTTATCATTGTTATTTTAAATAAGTTATAAATATTGTAAACTTTTCTGTTTTAATTTCTAATACATAGAGCAAATATTGAGAGATAACCCATATAAACAAAAGCTCTTTGGGTCTCTCAATAATTTTTAAGAGTGTAAACGGTTCCTGAAACCAAATAGTTTGAGAAACACTTGCTTTAGGGTTAAACTTTTGTGGACCAAAAATGAAAGAACCCTGTTCAAAGAAAGTGAGCCAAAACTGAATTCTAAAGGCTTAATGAGTAAACTGACTATACCTAAATTTTCCTTATTGAAAAATGTAATTTTTACACCTGCAGAAAATTGTTTCCTCAACTGATAACTGTGCTCACAAGTAACTATTTGCAAGAGTAGTTAGTTATTTGTGTCTTAAAAATAATGACAGGTAGCCAGGTGTGTTTGTAAAGTCTAAGCAGAAAAATATATCAGTTGATGCATATGCATGGGTGTACACATGTTCACTGTCAACTTCTTATGAGTTTCCTTTTTTGGTTTTTAGCGTTCAAGGAATGGAGATCCATCAGATACATGTTTTGGCCTTCATCTGTCTATTAATCTTGATTATGGCACATTAGTTCATATATGGTTAGACTTATAACTGTACCTAACAGTACCTCTTGGGGAGTTGTTAAAAAACATTTCGCTTCTCTATTTTATGCTTTATTTCATTTCATGTATTCCAAACGAAACCACTGGTTGGGAACTACTTCTGGTTTGTGTCCTGTGGTTGGTACACTCTGACTAAATACTAAAGGATGAATAGCTTTTATCTCTACTATTTGGCCAAGAGTCAAGGCTGATGGTGTCTGGATGCCAACAGCGGTGATTAGCATCAGGGAATAAGGGCATTAATCACCAGAGCCGAGACAGCCCAGGAATCTCCCTGGCCCTTTACCTTCCCAGCAGCAAAATCATTCCTGCAGCATTGCTGATTTACGTGTGCCATTTCTCAAATATGCTGACTTCTGGCAACACCATGTCCAAATTAGGCAGGAGCCAGCCTGGCTAAAGCACAGGGGACAGGTAGGGCAGAAGTGAGATTACAAAGTGCTTAGTAGAGAGTGGGTCAGATTCTTGTAGGAAGGGTGCAAATCCAATGTCAAAAATTATCCCTAACTCTTTTTGTCCTCTCTCTGCTTCCTCACATTCTTCATCAACCCTTAAGTTAAAGAGTCATAGTCCTGGTGTCAAAAGGCATCTTGAAAATCATCTTCTGGTCCTTCAGCTGCCTTGCAATGCCAATTTACGGGATGCAGTTGAATGTGTGATAAGGAATTTAGGACATAAGCAGTTACATGTAAAATTTCAACACACATGCATACACCTAGTTTGTTTCCCATGGGCCCTCAGAATTCTAAGAAAAGGGTGGGATAAAATCTCATGATTGACTCATACCATAACTTGATTTAAAAAGGTAAGATGTATACTAGTAACTTTCTACCTGAATTTATTTAATTGTTCTGAAATTTTGTAAATAAAGGAAAAAGAATTCTCTGCAACACCTTCTTCCCCACCACCTCCACAGAGTAACTGTGAAGATCTGAGTCCCTGAATAGTGGGTTTTTCCTGGTACTAAGTGTCTCCTGAAATAATGATCACATAAAAAAATATAGGTAAATACTCAGTATCTGCTCCAGGAGACCATCTTCCCCCAAAATGGAACAGGTCTGTCTTTCTTCTCTCCTCCCTAGGTGTCCTTCTATGGAAGAAAGAGGAGCCTCATCTTTTGAACACATAAGATTTTTCTCAAGTTTATTTCTCTGGCAAAGTAAGTAAAACTTAAATGAAAGCATTCATAGAATTTTGTCTAGAGATAAAATTCAACCTTGATGAAACTGATCCCGTAGAAGTGTGAAGGATCCACATTACCCAGAACGACTTTCACTACCAGGGGTGACCTCATCACCCTGTCAGAGGATGTGACTAGCTCTTAAACCTTACTGAAGTGCTTTATTTCTGTAATAACAATTGCAGATTAGATTCATCTTTGACTTAAAAATTACAAAATTACACTGGCTAAAAGTAATTAAGTCATTAGCTTGTAAGAAAAGTACTCATAAAATGGTGGGCAACTATAAATAAAGATTTTCTTCTTCCCACTCACTGAAAAATTCTTTCTTGAGTTGCCTAAAACTTAAGATAAGTCGGAGACTATTTACATGACAACTGAGGAATTATGTTTAAAGTTATGTATAATTTGGATTCTTCTCAAGATTTATAGTCAATAAATACATTGAATATCCATTGAGTAGTGACAATTCTAGAGCTTCTAAAAGAATTCATATCTATAATGAAGTTACAATCCAGGTCTTTCTCACTGATATGAATGTGTGTGCATATATACATTTTTTTCTCTGTTGAGTATATTATTATATAATATAGATGGCACAGTTATAGAAATTCACTTTCTTTGACCCTCACCCAAATAGGTCAGTCATGGCAATAACAGGTGGGCAATGGGACTGAGGGACAGAAATTCTTCTGTCCTACTTCCTTGGACCATGGTGGTATTACTTCATCTTCCTTGTTCCACATACTAATCTCACTTCAATTTAGAAAAAAAACACATAATTCTCTTATGTTTGACTTTTACAGAACATTCCTAAAAGTGATTTTTGTTTTGCTTCCAGCAACAGTTGATAGTTCTCTCTGTATTTCTAATTTTGCTTTAGCATCCCTCTAAGTACAAATTTTGAGCCAATATCTATAAAAGGGACATGGCATATACAGATGAGTATTTCCCTTAATGAGACTTTTAAATCAGTTCCGACTCTGTGAATGGTATTTTAAAATCTGAAACAGGCAGAGAGGAAAATATGAAGTATTTTAACATGTGAAAAGGCCAATGAGTCTGGACGTGTCTGGATACTTACTCTCTCACACAGCTCTTCAAATGTGCAGTCGGCAACAGTTCCACAGGCTTTATTCAGCCGCAGCTCTCTGCCTTGCACTTTTAGAATCCTTGGTCTAGTTACTATGGGAACATGAACAAAGACTCAATCTTGTCTGGATAATTACTATAAAATTCATCTCTTACAGATAGGAAATGCATAGCTTGATGAATAATAGCACATGATTCAACACATAAATTAGACAAAATGCTGATACAATGACTGCCACTTGAGCGTGGCATCAACCCATATACAGCAATGGAACTTATTAATTGGTCAGTGGAGATTGGGCATTGTGTTCTAAATGTATTCTCTTTCAAGAGAAATTAACTTACGTACAATCATTTTGTTTCTGAGCCAGCTCATCAAACAACTTATCCATGACAGCCTCCACATCAGCTTCACTTGTGCTACAGTGAAAAGAATAATAGAATATGAAATTAATAACACTTGAAGCCAACATCAAACAGCTGCCTGAGCCTGCTTAGCTTTTTGCCCATAAAGAAAGAGAACAGGATGTTATGCTCTAAATACAAACATTAGATTTAGAATACACTTAAAAGCAGAGAATATTAACTCTCAGGTAGATGATTCTGCCTTATTTGCATACACTGAAAGACTTCTGTGCTTCTGGCTGTTTCCAGTAATGAGACGATACAGGCAGAGTAAATCCATTAATACTATGTGTACACAATGAGAAGAAAGGCTTCTGGCTCTCTCTTGCATGCAAAACAAGAGCAAATAGACAAGGCAGTCAAGCATCCAGCAAAGTATCCTTTGAAATCTCTACTGAGAGGGTACATGTGAAATTAAATATTGAAGCTGCTTAAAAAAAAAAAAAAAAAAAAAAAAAAAAAAAAAAATCAAGTCAAGCCACTGGCTGAGAGGATCAAACATCCAGAATTAAATGACCAGCTTCGAAATACCAACTTGATCTGCACATCAATAACTTTATCAGACTTCGAGTATAAGGACAATTATAGACCACACAGTTTCTCTCAAAAGTGTCCTTGTCAGAAATTCGAGAAAACTCTCTCCTTCTGAGATGCCTACCACTTGCCGGCTACTGGAAGTTAGTCTCATCAAAGAATCCTTTGTATTCTAATTACAAATCACCATATGGTTTAGGGAACTCACAAATACAAATGTGATAACACTATGGCCTTTTTTCCTGTCACTTTTTTTTTTTTAAGAGAGATTTATAAATTAACTGTCAATAAAATAACCGGCAGAAAAAAATAAATGCTGTTAAAAAAAAACTTCAAGTGCAAATATAAGTTTACGTCAACTCTACATACAACCTTATACAGGATAACTTGCCGATATGCTTAATTTTGACATACAAGTCACTCTTACCTAGGTGTGGAAGCAATTAAACTCAATTCTGGACATCATCTCAATAAAGTCTTACTGAAAACTAAAATGACAAATTATTTTTTCTTTAGATTAAGTTTAAACAAAATTAAACTCATTCCTTCCCTGAGATAATTATCAGGTAGCAGGCATTTAACACACCAGCACCTAATTCTTCAACTGTTCTCCAGCAAATGCTTTTCAGACGCCCTTTGCATTTTGTTATGTTATTATTCAGTTATTATAAAGGATATGGAATTGTCACATTCCATGTAATAACCATTCCACCTGAAAGGATCTTAAAAACATCATCTGCAACGGTTAACTTTGCAGGGGAAATGCTATTTGACTTAAGTAAGGCATTGTATGACATCTGAGTAGGGTAGTATTAAAATAATAAAATGGCACTACAGAAAGTGATTATAGAGACAAAAAAACAACTTTAAAGGTAGAAAGAAATCACACAAGCCAATGTAAATGTCAACGCCCACACCAAGCACATGTATGTTTAGATGGGTTTGCCAACATTATTCTTGAGAATTCATTTAGAATTGTCTCCACCTTGTAATGGGCGTAAACACAACAACTGTTGGAGAAGCCAAAGCACTTTTTAAGGGATATAGAGAAGGAGCAAAGCCAGACACCAAGGATATCTGCTGGCTTGTAGAAAGTTAACTTCTCCTTAGGATAGGCATGTTACCCAACAGAAGGGGAGAAATGAATTCTGAAAAATAACCAAGGCAGAACACGGTTACATTTCTAAAAGCATATTTGGTCAATAAATAATTGCTTGCAAATTTCATCAGTGGTGATTTCTGTTTTACTCTGCGCTCTAATATACTGTAACATTAGGAGCGCCTGGGTGGCGCAGTCGGTTAAGCATCCGACTTCAGCCAGGTCACGATCTCGCGGTCCGTGAGTTCGAGCCCCGCGTCAGGCTCTGGGCTGATGGCTCGGAGCCTGGAGCCTGTTTCCGATTCTGTGTCTCCCTCTCTCTCTGCCCCTCCCCTGTTCATGCTCTGTCTCTCTCTGTCCCAAAAATAAATAAACGTTGAAAAAAATAATAATAATATACTGTAACATTAAAATGAGGCTCACAAGACTTTAGCCAGGCCACATCTTCTACATCATCTATGAAATTACTATACATGATTTCACTATAAGTGAAATGGCACACTGTGTGTGAAATGTGAAATGTATATCATGTGAAATGATACAATTATTTTTATTATAGCAGTATCTTACAAAAACTCTATTATCATAAAAAGTTACTCAGAAATTATGACATGCAAAATAAAATTTTTTACTGCTGTAGTGGCCTAAAAATAAATGTTCACAAAAGTAGTTCGTGTAATGTACAATTGAATAGACGGTTTTCCATCTAAGCCAATTTGTACTTGACCTCAGGGAGTGAGTTCTATTGACTGGCTGAAGGACAGGAACCTCAGCTTCATATTGTCTTAAAAACAGGAGGGGCTGGTATGCCTTTTTGGTTCTATTAGATGTATCTATGTGGACACAAAATAAATGAGGATGATATGAAAGAAATCCTTACCAGAAATAAACTTACTCATAATTCCTTAACAGATAATTTATAAGAAAACCTTAGTCTTCACCCTCAACCAGACCAGATTTCCCTACTTAAAAGGATGCATCAATCAGAGCTAACTTTTTTTTCACGTTTTTATTTATTTTTGAGAGAGAGAGAGAGAGAGAGAGAGAGTAGAGGAGGGGCAGAGAGGGCGGGGGGACAGAAGATCTGAAGCAGGCTCTGTGCTGACAGCAGAGAGCCCAATGCCAGGCTAGAACTCACAAACCATGAGATCATGACCTAAGCTGAAGTCAGACGCTTAACTGACTGAGTCACCCAGGCACCCCAGAA